TGGGGGTATGTGTATACGTATAGCTGATTCACTCTGTTATACAGCAGAAACTAACACACCATTGTAAAGCAATTGTACTCCAACAAAGATGTTAAAAGTAATAGTAATAACCATAGTCCATGCCCGGATGGCAGGACTATGGAATGTTTATTTTAAAAACAAAGCTTAAAATTCTTTTCACTTAGTTTAGTTATAGAAGTAATATATAATCATCTAAAGACATTTGGAAATACAAAATATAAAAGAAAATTACTCAACAATAGTCTCATACCTCAAAAAGAATCACTATTAGAGTGCTAATGCCATGTCACCTCTTTTCAACGCACTTTAGAAGTATACTATACAATAGAAACAATTTCGAATCATTCTTTTTTTATAGCTATCATTGCAAAACAAGTATAAGGCAGTGTGATTAATCCCTGTGAAACTACTGCATAATGACCTATCAAGTAAATATATGATAATTCATTTAATTACTTCCTACAGAGAGACATTTAGAGTGTTGCATATTCAATTCAACCACATTTATTCATCAATATTTATGGAGTTTCACTTATATACACTGAGATACAGAAATAAATGGTCTCTGTCCTCTCTAACTAGGAAAATAGAGAATTATACACTTAGAACGCAGTTTGATAAAGATGAGTTCAGGTTGATATGGAAGCAGGGAGGCCAGACTCTTACCTGGTAGAATGAGGTTAGATACCCTATAGAAAGTGATATCTGAGTTCTTGGAAAAGTGCAGAAAAACACAGATTAGAACAAAAGAAGGAAATAAAAAGCACTTATGTTTTTATTCTTCCTGTCTTTCCATCCATCATCACTAGTGATGGGCATTGAATTACCTTAAAATGTTTTGTTAATTTGACTCGCAAAAATGGGACCCCATTGGTTAATTATTTTTTAATTTTTTTAACATCTTTATTGGAGTATAATTGCTTTACAATGGTGTTAGTTTCTGCTTTATAACAAAGTGAATCAGCTATACATATACCTATATCCCCATATCCCCTCCCTCTTGCGTCTCCCTCAGACCCTCCCTATCCCACCCCTCTAAGTGGTCACAAAGCACCGAGCTGATCTCCCTGTGCTATGCGGCTGCTTCCCACTAGCTATCTATTTTACATTCGGTAGTATATATAAGTCCATGCCACTCTCTCACTTCATCCCAACTTACCCTTCCCCCTCCCTTGTCCTTAAGTCCATTCTCTACATCTGTGTCTTTGTTCCCGTCCTGCCCCTAGGTTCATCGGAAACTTTTTTTTTTTTTAGATTCCATATATATGTGTTAGCATATGGTATTTGTTTTTGACTTTCTGACTTCACTCTGTATGACAGACTCTAGGTCCAACCACCTCACTACAAATAGTTCAACTTCATTTCTTTTTATGGCCCCACTGGTTAATTTATAATTTCTTTGACTTCTAGCAAATTTAGACATTTGATATGAGTTTATTATATTTGTCCCTTTAAAAATTACTTTTTATTTTCTTATTCTATACAGTTCCTATTTTATTTATATCTAGCCACGGCTTAATCCCTTCATTCTTCTGCATCCCTTCAGACATCTCCACAATGTTATCTGGGATTATTTTCTATCTACCTAAAAAACTCCTTTTAGAATTTCCTTTAATGTAGGTCAGCTGATGATCTTAATGTTTGTCATAAAAATGCCTGTATTCTACTTTCAATTTTGAAGAATATTTTTTACTGGGTAGTATATAATCTAGATCGGCAGCTAATTTCTTCTAGTATTTTGAAGCTATCTGAAGGTCTTTAGGCTTCCAATTTGTCTTTGAGAATAAGCTCTTGATCTTACTGTTGCTCTATTGCAGGTAATATATCTGCTTCCTGTGCCTTTTTTTTTTTGGAAGGTTTTTCTCTTTGTCTTTAATTCTCAGTAGTCTACTGTGATCTGCCTAGGTATGGTTTTCTTTGCTTGAAATCTGCTGATATTCACAATGTTTCTTGATTCTGTGAGTTGTTGTCTTTCATTAGTTTTGAAAAATTCCTGGCCACTGTCCTTTACACTATTGCTTCTTTGTTTTCTCTCCCCTCTCCTTCTGATGCTTCAATTACATGTGTGTTAGAACATTTTAACACATACCTTACATGCTTTACAGTAAGTCCCCTACACACGAACCTTCAAGTTGCGAACTTTCAAAGATGCAAACGTGCGTTCCCATGTCCAGTCACGTAAGTTAGTTCACCTGTCTGGCATACATTGTCATGTGCGTGCATCCTCTACAAGTGGTTGTGCTTTTGTGTACTTTACTGTACAGTACTGTATAGACTGCAGTAGTACAGTATCTTTATTTCAAGCCCAGGATGTCCAGGAGCAAGTGTAAAAGCAACAGTGCTGTAGCTGGTACTGCTGAGATTCACGACTCAGAAAATGGCAAGGGGATTTTCTTTATTTGAGGAGGCACTGTTAGTTTTTGAGGCACAGGACCCAAACGTAGAACGGTACACGAAGGTTGCAGCAGCCATTCAGAATGCAATCCAGTGCTACCATGTCATCTGTGATGAGAAAAAAAGAGCTACTACCCAGACATCACTGGATTGTTTTTTCAAGAGGATAGATACAATTGAATCCAGCAAGGAACCTGAACCTATGCCATCAACATCAGGCATGAGTGAAATTGCAGCTTGCCCTCCGTCTCCTATTGCTGGCGATCCTGCAGCTCTACCATCTCCCACCTCCTCTCCCTCCTCCAGTCAGTAACTCTTCTTGCCTGTTCACTTGATGTCAGTCCCTGGATGCCAGCTGTTGTACTGTACTGCTGTACTTTTCAAGGTACTGTACTGTCAGATTAAAATGTTTTCTTTATGTTTTGTTTGTTTTTTATGTATTATTTGTGTGAAAAGCATTATAAACCTATTACAGTATACTACTATGTAGCCGATTGTGTTAGTTGGGTACCTAGGCTAACTTTGTTGGACTTAGGAACAAATTGGACTTATGAACCCGCTCTCGGAACTGAATTCGTTCATATGTAGGAGACTTACTATATTCTCTTTTCTGAAAATTATGTCCTCTTATCTCGTGTTTCATTTTGCATAATTTTTGACCTATTAATTTCACTAATCAGGTTCACTAATTTTTTCTTAAGTTGTATCAAATCTGTTATTAAACCCATCCCTATTCAGTCATAGTTTTAGTTTGTGGGGTTTTCTCCCCCCAATTCTACAAAGTCCATTTTATTCTTCTTTGGAGTTCTCACTTCTATGCTGAAATTCTCTATCTTGTCATTTAATTTCTTGAAGATATTAAACAGAATTATTCAAAAAACTGTCTTTAAGATTCAGTATCTGGATCTCCTGCTTGTTTATTTCTGTTTTCTGCCTTTTCCTCTCAGTTTTTAAGATAATTCTTTTCGTGTGCCCCTTTTAAAAATTTTAAAAGTGCCAGACATTGGGTATGAAATACTGTACAGATAATGTGTGGCTCTGGATGGTTGTGTTTTTCTCCAGAGGGGATTTACTATCGAGTTTTGAAGCTGTTCTTCAGTCCTTGGGAGGGCTGGTCTATTTCCTTTTTACCGATGCTCCTAGGATGCAGCACTCTGGGGTGCCAACTGCAAGTCTAGTGTGTTTACCAGCTCTTTCTCCTTAGTAGATCCTAAACTCCAATTTTTCATCTCCCCAGCCTGATGAGATGCCTAAAGTCCTACTTATTTTCTCACCCTTTCAGTCATTGCTTTGGAATTATCAAATGCCTCATGGGAAAGTTGTGCCATTCTGGGCTGCCCTTCTTTCCAGGATCTTAGTCATCCAAGTTCTTGCTGCTTTTGAAACTCTCTGATGTTTCAAGTAGAGGACTGTTTTAAATTTTTTTCTAATATTTCTCAGTGAGAGTATTGATCACAAGTAGACTAGCTCATCATCGCAAAACTCTAAGCAGAGCAGTGACATGATCTGATTTAGATTTTAAAAAGATCACTCTGGTTCCCTTGAAAATAAACTGTGTGGAATTGGGGAGGAAGAAGGATGGAAGCAGGTAATCCAGTTAGCGAGCTATCACAATAATCCAGACAAGAGATAATGCTAATTGTGGTAACGTGGAAGAGAAGTGATCAGATTCTGGATATATTTTGAAGGTAAAGCCAAGAGGATTTACTTGTAAATTGGATGAAGGTATGAGAGAAAGAGAGGAGTCAGTGCTGACGCCAAGGTTTTTGCCCTGAACCACCAGAAGGATGGAGCTACATTTACCGAGGTGGGGAAACTGGGCAGGAGTGCATTTGTGAAGGATGATCAGGACCTGACTTTTGCTCGTTACGTTTGAGATGCTAATTTGGCATCTAACTGGTGATGCCAAGTGTATACTTGAATATATGAGTCCGAAGTTCAGAGAATGGTTGGAAGCTGGAGATAAAAATTTTGTAGTCATGAGCATACGAATATAATTAAAGACACAAGACCGGATGAGAGCACCTCGAAAGTTAAATATAGAGAAGACTGCACACAGTATATTAGTGCCTGTTTCATAGGGCTGGTGTGAGAGCTTAAAAATATTTATCCACCTCTTGCCTCCACGTCCTCCTCTCAACGTGGGAAGGAACCAGCTGCCCCCGGGCAGCTTCCTCGTGCTGTACAGCAGCCCTGATCTGAGTCTCATCGCCCCTCCCGACCCGCCCAAGGGAAGGGATCGTGAAGCTCTGGCTGGCAGCTCCTACGCCTTTCATTAACGGAGGGCTCAGGTTTCCAACTCTCAGATGCTCAACAGGTGCGTAACTGGCTGATGCAGTGGGTCCTCCAGACAGAAGGGTGGTGCTGTTGGTCGCCCGCAGACTGCTCGGGCCCACCCCGAGGCCGCCCGCCAGGCTGCACCTTCTCCCCCTCGGCTGCAGAGGGCGCGCGTGAGGCACGCGGCGCTCCGGCCCCGCGGAAGCTCAGCGAGGGCCGAGGGGAGGGGAGGGGCGGGGCCGAGCGTGGGGCGGGACCGGACGGCTGGGAGGCGGGGGCCGGGAGGCAGCTGGCGGCACTCTGCGCGGCGCGGGGGAGAGCGGTTGACCTCCTCGGACGTTCTCGAGGCAGCTGGAGGCGGGACCGTGACCCGCTGGCAGCTCGGAGCTAGCCGGGCGGCCGGAGCTAAAGAGCGCCCGAGCGCCATGATTCCTCTGGAGAGGCCGAGCAGCGGCGGCTCTTCCCCGGCCGCCGCCCCCGGCTCGGGTCGAGTCGGCCGGGGTCTGACCACACCGCGCCGGCTGCCGCCCCCGCCCCGCGGGCTGCTGACGGAGATCCGCACCGCGGTGTGCACCGAGCCCTTCCAGGATTCCTACAGCCTGAGCCCGGGCCGGGCGCTGGGCAGGTGAGGCGGACGAGGGCCGGGCGGGCGGGGAGCAGATAAGTGCGGGAGGCCGGCGGGGGCAGATAGCGCGCCGGAACCGGGCACAGACCTGGGTGCGGGCGGCGATTAGGGCGGCAGGGCCCCCAGGCCACCCTTGCGCGCGCCGCGTCCCCCGAGCCGGCGCGCTCCGCCGGCGTGTGCTGTACCCTGGGTAGCGGCCGTGAGAAAGTCTCCCGCGCGGGTCCCCGAGAACCTTGACCCCTTCCTCTGCTCCGGGCCTTTTCGGCCTCTGTGGTCCTTGGCTCGGTAACTTAACGAGACGGCGTGGGAACCACGCTGCGAACCTTTACCCGCGGCGGCGAGTCTGAAGCCAGAGCAGAGGTGTGAAGGCAGCTCTGGTTTTGCCCCTGGAGCTTGTGGGTTCCTGCTTCTGCCTCTGCGGCTGTGACAGAGCAGAGAGCAGAACGCCGAGCGTGACAGCTTCCTTTGCACCAGCGCTGGGCGAACTTCTGTCCGCCGCCTCCTGCTGACTTCAGTTGCGGTTTCTTGGGTTTGTGCTGCTTTCGTTCTGAAATGAGGTCCCTGCGCCTTTTAAGTTCCTATCGGTTTCACTTGTAGGCTCCGGGCCCTCGTCTGACTTTCTCTGCTGAAAACCGGCCCTTGCCTTCTCTTCCCCTCCCCACTCTTGCTTTGTAGGGGTCGGGAGGGCTTAGAACTCGGTCTCTTTTTCAAATTGCACAAGGTGAAGGCTGTTTGGATCCTTTACATCTTGTACGTTGAAGAGGGGTCCAAGAGTGTGATAGGGGTTTAGGGACCGACTCGCTTTTTCCTTAAGAATAGTTTGGAGAAGTTGTCAAAAGCACAGGCTTTGGGGCCAGACCCGAGCTCAGATCCCCACTCTGCTTGCTCTGTGTGCCTTTGGACGGTGACATAGACTCCCCAGCCTCTCGTTTCCCACCCGTAAAATAGCATAGTGACAGTGTCTCCGTCAGGGGTGTCGTGAAGATGCGGTGGCTGTAAAGCACAATTCACTGGGCCTGGCACATAACACATGGCTGCAAAAGCGCAGCATGTTGTAATGGGGAAAGGGCCTGACAGTTATAACAGCCTTCACCTGGGGCTCTTGGAAAAAGAAGTCCTCGTAACAGTGATTACAATGTTAAAAACAAGCTGCCTTACAAATATTAAGGTAACTTTTAGAAATAGTTTTTTTGGCAAGGAAACCTACCTTAAAAGTGTCTCATTTATTCCAAATGTTACAAGGAGAAACATCTTTCTGGGACAAGATTTACTTCACTGTGCTAGGCACTAATTAACTGGATCTGTGCACACTTTATGACAAAGGAAGAGGTAGACAGCTACTGACTCATGTAGGTATTCTAATTGGTCAAAATTCCAGACATTCTGAAGTAACCCTGATTTCTTGAAGAAGGAAAACTAGGACTCTCCGTTGTTTGGTTGTCTGGCTTCATTCCACAAAACGAGAACATATTACAAAACTGAAGTGTCTTCAGGTGGCAAGCACTGTCTTGTAGACTTTGCAATAAATGATTTAATCTGAAAAAAAATTGATTTGTGCCCTACCAGCTGTGTGAGAATTCCTCCGGGAATGTTTCAACTTTCATTTTACCCTCTCTATTATAAAATTAGCTCGCCTATAAAGTGTTTGTTTGAAGGTTGTGACGTCTTGTACATATCTCTTCTTATATAAATTTCTTTACATAAGTAATAATTCCTGAAGCAGCAGAACAATGCAATTAGATAGATACTTGATATAAGAGCCTAAAACTGAAAAAGAAAACGAATGTATTTGTTTCTTTTTGGTTCTCTTTTCATCACGGAGAAGTGTAATGCAGTGTTCAAGAACATGGACTTTGGAGTCAGACAGTGGAGTCTTGGCCCTTTACTTACTAGTTACATGTACTTGAGTAAGTTACCTAACCATTGATAGCCTCATAGAGTTGTTGAGAGAACTAAATAAATTAAAAACATCTGTAGCATAAAGGCTTGTACTTAGCTTCCTGGGTGCACGCAAAAAATGCAATTCATTGTGTAGCTCAGTGAATGTAACCAAAAGGCAAAAACAGGAAAATGTGCACGACCTCAAAATACTTTTTGTCTGTTGCAAAAGTAATAAAGCCTCATTCCAAAAGACAAGAGAACTGTTCAGAAGTCTCAGGAAGTAAAAGCTCTGTTTTGTGTTAGAAGCTCTCTTTGTTTAAGGTTTATAAGTTTTGCCTGTGTGTTGTAGTTTTGACATAATGAAGTGTGTTTATGTGTATTCCTTCCTGTAGTAAGATAGAAAAGTTGCATCTTTTTCCAACTGTTAACTCTGGTTGCATTTCTGATAGAACGAATCGATCTCATACTGATACAGAACTTAAAAATTACTCATGTTGTATTTTAACGATGTGGTATGAAAAACAAAGATATATTCATTTTGTTCTATGGCCTTTCATTTAGTTGAAAATGTTGAAGAGGTGTGAAGAGCTGACTGTTCAAACACAGAAACTGAGTTCTTTTGGGAGTTCCCATTATTTTATCTTACAGAAATATAAAGCTTTCAGTGAAATGGTTGTTTGGAGAAAACATTTTAAATGGTCGATATTGATTCCATAGTAATGAAAGTATGTAATGTTGATTATTTTAAGAAATGTCACATTTCTTTCATATCTCCAGTAGAGTCCATGGCAACCTAAATGTGGGTAACTATATGATGTAAAATTTGCTTTTATTGCTGGAAGCTTGACTTATTATTCCTGAGGCTTGTTACCTTTCTCTGAGGCAGCACAGGTGCCAGTGGAAACCACAGTAATGACGCAAGGCGCAGGAGCCATGACCTTGAGTTCTGAGAATTTTTTTCAAAGTGTTGACTTCTCGAGTTCTAATCGATAGTGTAGGAACAGAAAAATGTTTCTAGGAATTTTAAATTATACTGATTCCACATCAAATGATTTGCCTAGTCCTCAACTTGAACATTTTTTGACATACTCATACATTTTATCTTAAGAAAAAAGAGATCTTTAAAGCCGAAAGAACATCTTTTGTTTTTTGTATTACTACATACTCATAGTTGATGTTTCCTGTGGGGGGAAAAAAGGTATAAATATGAGTTCTCTGCTGGAATGGGTCCTTCATAAATGTATAGGAGCCATACAGTTTTACAGGTGCTTTCACTTGCATGATCTCATTTACTTCTCATCACAAGCAGGTTTGGGAAGTCCCATTTTTCGGATGAGAAAATCAAGACACAGATAGATTGAGTCTTGTGAGAATCACCTGAGCTGGGACTCTCTGAAATCACTTCCATTTATACCACAGATGTTTCTCAAAGAACAATCCATGGCCTATCTTGTGGCTAAAGCAATTTCCCATCGTTTTTATGAGAGGACAGGTTAATGAGTTCCAAATTGGAACAAACCCTGCCCAGCTTCGGTGTCATATGCTTCCCTCCCCGGTTCCACCTGGGTCCTTGGACTCTTGAATCAATAGCAATGGATAAGAGGCCAGAGGAGCATTCCAGGCAAGACTTTACTGGGGCTCCGTGCTGCAGCACGAGGGAACGAAAACAAGAAGCAGGTGCCCTTGCTCGCTCCCCAAAGTGCGGGCGGGGGCGGAGCTGGTCCGTTCAGTGGGGTGAGGGTGGGGGCCGATGGCTGGGTCGGGCTGGAGGGGAGGCTTCGGTGATCTGCACACCCCCTTGCTGGTGCTGTGTGCAGGGATCACGTGCAGCCCCCCGCTTTTGCTCGCAGCTTCTCAGAAGTGGCAGTTGGCCTGTGGCCTTTTTGTAGCTTATTGTTCATAATTGACCGCACCTGCGCATGCGTGCCGTTCTTAGTCCCTTGGAGTCTCTTTGTCTATGGCTCGAGGAGATGTTTGTCCAGGTGCAAGCACTCAGGTGAAGGGTCCCAGGTCCCAGCCTGTCTCAGCTGGGCCTTATGGTAGACAGAGACGTCCTATCTCATTATCCTCAGAGGTTGGGAGTAACAGGAACAAGGAAGGATTTTTATCAGAGAATTAGAGGATGTTCGAGCTGAAGGGGATGCACAGGTGGATGTTTTTCAGGAGGTGGGTGTCCTTTACCTAGATTCCTGCCTGTAGGTAATGGCTTCAGGTTTAGTACCTTACAGCTACTTAAGCATATGTCATAAATTGTAAGCTGTAGTTTCTTTAGAAATAAAGACCCTTGTTAAACAATACTATCCATGTAGAAATTGCACCTTGTTTTAGGAAAACTGTTATTTAAGATTTCTTGGCAGTTTAAAATTAGTTTGAAAAATATTTCCAGTTTTAGATAATCCAATATTTTTGGATGGGTAAAAACAGTTGGCTATGTTTGTGCTTCAGCAGCAGACGTCACTTAGGAAATATGGCTCCTGCTCTAAGGCAGATGCTTCATTAAGTCAACTGTTTTAATTTTGAAAAGTTGGGGCTTACAGTGTTAAAAGTAAAATCTTAATTTAAAATACATAAACCTTCAACTATAGTCCAATATAAAATAAAAATTAAATTTAGAAAGTACATAAACTTAAGGATTTAATGAATTTCAGCCTCTTTACATAACTACAATAACAAAATTTTATAAAATCTGATTATTGAACCAAGTGCATTAGAAAGTTAAGTAGCCACAGTCATTGATTCACCTGTTCAGGAAGGGAAGAAGGAACCCGACTTATAGAGGGAATTTATGCATCAAGTAGAGAGTTCAAATTAGATCACCTCCAAAACTCCTCTGTTCTGTATGATTATTTTTTTACAAATTATCATAGATCTGAAATTAATGCCCCAAACAATAAAAATAGCTGCTGTGTACTGATTACTGATCATTTGCCGGATGCTACACACTTCGGAGATGTCATTTTGTTTAGTGTTCACTACCCTGCAAGTTAGTGCCATCAACCTCATTTTACAGGTGAGCAGTCTAAGACTCAGAAAGCCTGAGCCAAGTGCCCAAGATTACAGTTACCAGCCGGAATTTAAAACTGAGCCTGGCTTTTAAAGCCTTACCTGTTCTTGTCACT